GAGTGTCATTTATATTAATCAACATAGTACTTGAAATATAAAAAGTACTACATGCAATCCTGTGTTTCAAAATCGTATGTGTACAAGATAAAATTTTTTTTACTCAAGTAATTGATAGATATTTCTTAGGAAATTGCTCAAAATTATATTCAAAATTGTATTTACGAGATTTAAGTCGTGATATATTATAAATTCTTGAAATATTACTCGCCTTAAATTTCAAAGAATCGATTTTTAAAATCGTCAATGCTGAGATATCTCGAATTCTTGCAACTACAATATTTTAAAGAACGCTTATTTCGATAACTTTTGGAACGATAGAATTTTTAAAATCCTCAAGTGATCAGTTTCTTGAAAAATTGCTCAAAATTGTACTCGAAATTATAATTTTATACGAAATTTAGGTCGTGATATATTTAAATTCCCGAAAGATTAATCTTATCGCCTTTCAGTCTCAATTCGATTTTTTAAATGGATGTCGCAATCTTTCAAATTCTTGCAACTACAGTATTTTAAATCACGATGATTCGATATTTTACGGAGGAATGGATAATTAATCATTCGTGTAATTTACATTCTAACGCACGATTACACCCGTCAATTCTGAAATCTGACAACCGAAAGTACATTCGCTAACGCCAGATATAAAAGCCACGCTTTAGATTACATTTAAGTGTGCAAAAAAGAGATAATATCATAATATCCGTTGCGAATATTATTACTTTACGATTGAATCATCGACTGTGCGCGCAGCTCGCATGCGTTTCCCTCCATTCCTCGCTTGTGTTCGCCTTCGTATTTAGATCGAACTTCACGTGCGATCCTGCAGTATACTTTCATCGCACGGAAGAAAGTGAGAGAGAAACCCGGTCGATGAGAGAAAAGAAAGAAAATAGCATAGCGTGTATTTCGGCTCGGAAGACGGCGCTACTCGAGTCGCTAACTGAAACATTTCGCACACATGATTTTCCCATCCTTTTCATCGAAATTGCAAAAGGAAATGTCCAATAATATCGTGAAAAATATATATAAACTCTGGAATTTCTTTAGACTTCTAAAATTTCTTATTTTAAATTTTTTTATGAAATTTTATAAAATTAAAAAATGTAAGGTATTTTTTTTTAATCATAATGAAAAATTTTTTTAATCTTAAAGTATTTCAGAATTAACATACATAAAAAATTCTATTAAAAAATATAAACTTTCTCAGTATTTTCCGAAAATTTCCAATTCGTATAAAAATTCTGAGAAAAATTTAAGATTTATACTTTTCGACAATCAAAAATATTTTAATTTTACAAAAAATTATGTTTTCGATCATCAAGCCACCACATTGAATCTGCTATTTTGAATTTCTATCAAATTTAATTCACAAAAATTCTTTATAACAATAAATCTTTAAAAAATTTGTCCATTTTTTAATATTAGCTGTATAATAGCGGACGAGAAGAATATTACAGTGATTCTGAAACAGTATCAGTTTGACAAGGGGAATACAATGAATTATAACAAATCTTACCTAAGAAAAAGCTATAAGATTTGAAAAACAGACCCAGCCATCTTCTGAAAGTAAAATTTATGCTATTCTATATTTTAAATTATTTTAAAATCTACAATAAAATAATTTTAAGTTTTAATCCCAGCGAAAAATAACTCGTCGAAATGATGTCGAATCGACATCGAAAATGTTCGAAAACCGATCGAAATATTCATCGATTTCAATGAATTCGTGGTACTCGATTCGATGAATTTTCGATGGTTAGAATGATTCGATTTCGATGAATTTTCGATGCTTTAAACAATACAATAATACAATATACGAAAAAAAAAGATTTTTTGATGGTTATTATTACTTTTCTAGTTTAATCAGCTGTCTTCGCTGTTTCGCGTATATTTCATTTTTTAATTACAATTAATTTTTGAAAGCGCATTGCCGATGAGATTTGAACCTATGATCCTTAGAATGATAGTCTAATACACTAACTGAGCTAAGCGCAAGCTTGCGATCAAGTCATCGCCAGCACTACCTTCTACAATAATTATTCCTAATTTCGTGCCTCTGCTGACAAATTAATATTATTAATATTTAAGGAGATTAGATGGAAACGAAATTACATTAGTATTTATTAATTAAGCTGAAGAATGATAATGACAAAGCGACTGATTCGTCATCGATCTCCATTTTTTTATAACTTATTATTTTACGAAAGGAGATCGAACTAAAATGAAATTATACGCTGGTATTTGTTAACTAAATTAGAAAATGGTAATCACAAAGTTATTTATTCTTTATCAATCTCCATTTGTTTATTACTTAATATTTAACAAAAGGAGATCGGAAGGAATTATATCAGAGATAGCAGAGATTCGCTTTTGTTGCGAATTTATGATAGATTATGAAAATTTTCTATTGTAATTAAACTTTTCTGTTAGAACATCGATATTTCATCATTCCGATATCAATTCGAAATTATTCCGTGATTCACTTTTTATATACATATGGCATTTTTAACCATTATATAAAACGAAAAATTATATTGTATTCCCAGGTAGTAAACGCACGTCATTTTGATGTCAAATTCTGGTCATGTTGGTACGAATGACGTCAAATGACCAAAAATTGACCAACCGATGTTATGACGTCATATTTTGGTCTTCCTTAATTCTCCATTTGGAAACGTCCTAACATGATGTCATTTTGATGTCGTCGCGATAACACATATAATTTGCGAAATTAGAGAAAGAGAGAGAGAGAGAGAGAGAGAGAGAGAGAGAGAGAGAGAGAGAGAGAGGACGTCATTAAGACGTTATTATTAAGCGTCAGCAGTGATTATTAGTGTGAACAGACATATACATATATAAATACCCAAAGTAGTAATAAATTTGACGTTATTTGTCGCTATTTTAACATCTGAATTACATCAAATTAATTGTTGTTATTGGAAACGTCCTAACATGACGTCAAAATGACGTCCTTGCAATGACGTCAATAATTTTGTGACATTAAAACGTCATTAAGACGTTTTAATGTCATTTAGTGACGTTCACCATGATCAGTAAATGACCAAAATTTGACGTCAAAATGACGTGTATTTGCTAGCTGGGCGGAAAAAGAGTTTATCATAATATTTTATATATTAATTTATATATAAACAAATACAAGAATTTATATATACATGTCATAACAATTAATTATTTTTGTTACTTTTAATTACTTTATATTTATTTTAATTACTTGTTATATTTGTTATTTTTATACAAAACAAAAATGTTTACAATGAAATTATTATTAGATATACAGGGTGTTTGATAAATCTGGTGACAACGCGTGGGCAGGTAGAGCGGACTAAACTGAATCGAAAAGTCCTCTACCATTTTGCAAGTTTCGCAATAGTTAACAAGATATTAATAATTACTAAAAATTGCCGAATATTGCAATAATTTTTTTCTCAAATAAAAAAACTGCAAGAGACAAAAATTATTTATTTTCTTCTCATAGAACTCTAAGAATTTTGTCAGAATTTTATCAACTTTTTAGTACTGCATTTTCGTATTGGCAACTATTTTTACGAACATGAGAGAAAATACGGTATTAAAAAATTCTGAAAAAATTCTCAGAACTTTATGAAAAGAAAATAGAAAATTTTTGTCTTGCTGTTTTTCTGTAAAGTTGATAATATTTGAGTAAAAAATTATTGAAAACCAATATTTAGCGATTTTTAATAATTAATATCTTGTTAACTATATTGTAAAAATTGCAAAATGGTAGAGGACTTTTCGACTCACTGTCAGTTTAGTCCGCTCTACCTGCCCACGAACGTTGTCAACAGAATTATCAAACACCCTGTATATAATATATTAACTGTTATTTTATTGTTAAGAGAGACAAAAATTAAATTATTTAAAAATGAAATTATTATTGTGTATTAATTTTCGAAGTAAATCAAAATAACTTCGATATCAAAACGATGAAATATTGATGTTCTAATAAATATTACATAATTTGCTTGTTTAAAAGTCTGGCGATGAATATATTCATCTTCCTTTAAAGAATGTTTATAAAGCACAGACATCGAAATAAGCTTCAAATTTCAAACGATATTTCGATTCGATGGAATTTCATTGATTTCGACGTCAATTCGATGAAGTCATTTCTCGCTGGGAAACATTTTATACACGTATATTTAATTTATTATACATAACGCTTATATTATACATATAACTTACGAAAAGACATTTTAATTTCAAATATGTAGATCTGTCCCTTTAATCAACTATTTTTATCATCTGCGTAACCAAAATGATATGACATATTCGAGCGTAGCTATAAACAATATCTATAAAAAAGGAAACAATTAAAAAAAATATAACAAACAAGGTTTATTTATGGATAACAAATCTTACTTTATAGTGAGGAAACAGAAGCGACATCCTCTGATCTTTGAGAGAGAGAAGAGCGCAACTATTTACTATAAAATGAGATGAAAATTACAAAAGTGAGCAAATTCATTAGAATATTTATAATTTCATTAGAGAGAGAGAGTATATTCATCTAAGTGAATCGCTCACTTTTGTAATTTTCACCTCGTTTCAAGGTACACAGAATTGACCCCTGTGAAGCGACGCTCACACGATCCAGTCCGACATGCGCATGCGGCATCTCTGATCGTACGGTCATGCCTGCTGAGGGAGGCGAGTGGAGTGGAGTGGAGACGAGGCGAAACGCCGAAGCGTCAAGTGAGGCCTTGGCTTTAAAATGGCCACTCCTGGTGTCGCGCATGTAACGCGAGGCAACGTTACTCCGTCAAGTCGTTTCCGATCCCTACGATACTCGCGAACGTAGAGTATCTCGACGAGTGTCCGTCGTAATCGTCCTGGATATCAGTATCGTCCTCACCCCGGAGATTGTGCGTGAAACTGAATCGGAAACAACGGAACGGAGACAGCGAGGCGTGCGAGAACCGAGAGCGAGGTCCTCGGCGCGGGCGTCGCGCCGTGCAGCGTGGGTGACTTCACTGATATATACATCGGTGTCGTCGGTACCTGGGTACCGTGCCTCGACGTCGTATCCTCGACGACGCGCGTGACTCATCTCACCGAGAGGGAACCTCCTGCGGTTGGAGACAGTGGAGCCATCGGCGACGCTTTCGTGGCGCCTCAGTGACCTCTCGGTAATACCTCGGCACTTCGCTGTTATTCTCCCTTTTTCCTAAAAGAAATCACAAGGGCGCGTTCGAAATACTACCCCCAATAGTGTTTCTATAATACATTATAGTTTTATGATATATTAATTATTACAGGAATACACACACACACACACACACACACTACTATGTTTCTCGTAATAATACAATATATTATATCATTACAGAGAAACTATAGTATTTTATAATATAACAAAATATTGTAGTAGTGTAATAGCAGTATTCCTATAATAATTAATATATTATATAATTCCAGCAATTAATAATATAATTCTATAATAAAATGTTATAGTTTCTAATATAGTAATAATATAATACATAATATATTATTATATACGAGAAATATAATATTTTATAGTATAATAAAATATTACAGTAGTATAATAGTAGTATTTCTGTGTAGTAATTAATATATTAATATTTTTGTAATATATTAATAATAATATATTCTACAAAAATGTGTTACAGTTTCTGTAATAATATATTATTACAGAAAATGTAATATTTTATTATAAAACTATAATATATTTTATAATATAGTTTTATAATAAATGTATACGATATATTACTAGAGAAACACTACTGTCCAAGTACTTCCGAGTATCAGTTTATTCTTGTTTAACTTTTCAGTGAACAACAAAGATAAAATAATACTCGGAGGTACTCGGGTAATGTTTTCAAACGCAGCAAAATTTGTAAAATGTATATATATGTATATTGGATGCTTCAAAGAAACTGCTTCAGGATAGGACTGGTAATTTGCTTTGAAAACTTTGACATTCAAACTTCAAAATTTCAAAGATTCGAAGTTTCGAACAATCAAAATTAGATAATTATTAATTTAATAGCAATAGATGCATATTTATAAAATTATATGACAAAATTTAAAATATTTCAATATTGTAACAATTAAATTAAAAAATACGTAAATTTAATCACTTTCATCGATTTTACGATTTTGTCAAGTTTCCTTCTTTAAAATTATTTCTTTTTATGCTAAAGGAGACTTGTAATTAATAAAACCAAAACGTTCATATTAATTTACTATTTAATTTACTATCTCTAAATTATTTAAGAATACCACATTTCTCCAGCATATATTTTAATTCTTTTGTTTATAATATTTTTAGCATTTCCTGACTAAATTCGTCATTCGCATGAATGTATTTTTCGAAGACTTCGAAGGCACCTTAAACTTTGAAATTTCGGAGCCTCGAAAAAATTCGAATCTTCAAATCAGTCAAAAATAACAGAAAGACAGATGCCATAAAGCAAAGAAGAATATTGGATGCTTTCCAACAAGAGACAACTACATTCTTGATTGTATACTCATTTAACAAAAATTACGTTCGTTGTTTACCAATGTTAAACGAAGATGGAATGATTCGCTGTGTTACATTGTGTCATCTGACTCCTGCTGGAAAGCACTTATGGCGAATTCGATTGGAAGCATTAGTGCGCACTGGTGCACAAAAGCCGTTGTACACAAAATAACATGAAGATATGTTTATAAATAAACATAGAAATCGAATTCGCTATTATTTTCTAGCAATAATTAAGTATAAGCTCTCACGAGGATGTCTCGATCGCCACGATGATTGTTGGCGACGCTTTCGTGATTTTATGTCGCCTCCGGGATCGAAACCAGATGTACATCTATCTTCAAATTTCCGATGTGCGCTTTAAATGAAACATCGCGTTTCCATTTGTCACGAATAAACGTGGAAATTTCTGCGCAAAGAAAATCCAAAATTATGCTGGTCCGATTCATGATTTTTTTTGTTTCCCACGGAGAAGATAGGAATGTCGGAATGATGATACGCGACAGGCGACCTCCCATCGATCGCGGTTTACGCTACCCTTCTGAAATTCATGGAATGTATATATATACATCTGTGTACAGTGTGTTACAGCAAAAACTTGAGATTAGTGTATAATGTATATAATTACTTTATGTGTGTGTGTGTGTACATATATATATACACACACGCACAGATTTTAATAAATGCGAAACACAAAATTATTAATACTTTTAGAATATATTCTATTTTAAAGTGTTGAAAACATAATTAATATTTTCATAAATTCTATTTAGCGAAAGTGCAAACAACAATTTAAAAATCATGTTTCGTTAAATAAGAATACTTGTTTTTTTTTATACATCAGTATCTTTTTTTGTATAATATTTATTTTGAATAGTGTGTAAACAAAGTTACGTTACGTATTATATTTTTATTCCTTTAGCTAAAATAGTTAAATAAAATTAAATTGTATACATGAAATTCAATTAACGAGGCATTTGTTAACAACATATGCAAAGAATTTATACCAATTAGCATGTCTTTACTAAAATGTTTTAGTAAGTGTATACTTGCTAATAAGTGTATATATTTAATAGTAATATAGTAAACGCACGTTTATATTGATTTTTTACTGTTTCTAAAAATTTTTAATAAATAAATATATATATATACACGTTTATATGCTTTACTGTACATGTATATTTTAACTTAATATTTTTCATTCAATAATTATGAAATCGTAATTACGTTGATTTGTAATTAATAATTATAATTTAAATTATATCCAAACTTTTTTAACAAATTACATTGTAAATAAATGTTTCTTTAATCATTCTAATATGTATCTCACTAATTACATGAACGTTTAATAACGTTTAAGAAGCTATTATCATTCATGCAACAATCTCTTTAATTAAACTCTAATTAATTAAACTTTCTTACTTCTCCGTTTATCTTATTTTCGAAATTAATATTTCACATTTATGTGATTAAAAATCCATAGATAATAAAATAATGATAGTATTAATAATTTCAAAAACAAGATTTCTACATTAATAATTGTAACATATTGTGCAGATTCTACCTTAACAAATACTCTTCCTGGACGAAATCAACATGAGTAGGAGCAACGAGAGCGGTATATCGTTAGCAACGCCGCCGGCGATTCATGTTGGGCCTATCGTCACACCAGGGTCCAATGAAACTATTTCCATCGTGATACCGTTATCAGCACAGCTGACCACAATGGCTAGTCAGAAAGTCGACAAGAATAGTAAGGATTATGGCAGTGATACAAAACGAGCAGTTCCAGTAATTGTCAATCCTCCTCGAAGGTACAGGAAACAGCGAACTTTTCCAATAGATTCTTTCACTATCTGTGAATTCTAGATGTCTCTATATAATCTGAAAAATACACATATTGAGTAAAATATACATGTTATACATATATTGAATTGGATACAATTTTATTCCTGATGTAATAAGGATATTTTCTTGATATAAAAGTTCAATTTTGTTGACTTTTAAATTTCTTAATGATCAAATTTTCAGATTCTTTAAATTATTAAGTCCTTCTTTAGAATTTCTTCAATATCTTAGCTACTTCATTCCAACCACTTTTTATTTAAAGTCAATTTTCACTCTTTTCAATTAAGATCAATGAACAATTGCTTATATTAAATAATGTTTGTCTTTAGTGATATTTAGGAGTTTAGGATGGAAAATTTAAACACATGCTGTTTTCTTTCAGTCCGAGGAACAGGACATGTGGAAAAGGTTGTCCTTTTCCCACATGCATGCGATATGGACGAGCATTTTCTAGATTGCACGATTTGAAGCGGCACATAGCTCGGCACGCGATGCGCAAGGAAAAGTTGCAGCAAACTGAACAAAAAGTCGATATCGAAAACGCAACGAGCGATGCGGTTTTACAAGACGCTCTTCTGCGCGATACGGAAAATAAAGGTGGATATCCTTGTCCGCGATGTACGAAGAGGTACAACGATGAGGATAAACTCAAAGCTCATATGGTCTCACATGGCAAAGTACGATTTATTCGATATTCTTCTAATTCTTAAATAAATTCTTAATTAATTAGAGCAATAACAATTAAATAAATTTTTGACAAAATAAAAATAAAATGTTTATATTTTGTATATATAATTTGTTCCTAAAATTATATAATATATAAATTATGTGTATTATTATTTGTCTAGACAACGCCAAAGAACAATCACTTGAAGCAAGAGGAACATACTAGGAATGCGCTGCAGAGTCAAGCGATGATAGATAAGTCCTCAACAATTGTGAAAAATGAGGACGACTTTCTTCTGGAAGAGATGCTGTTGATAAAGAAGGATCCTCGAAGAACAGATAAAAACGATTCGAAGATTAGGTGCGATTACTGTTCAAAGACTTTCAAAACCAAGTGGACTCTGAGCTCCCACGTAGCCGCTCACGAAGGCCGTTTCCAGTTCGACTGTGGTCTATGCGGTAAGAAATTCGTCAGGAAGAGCCACTACGAGGGTCATCTACGTTCTCATGAGGCTGCCAGGCCGTACTCCTGCGAACAATGTGGTAAAACGTTCAAAGAGCTCAAACATCGTCGCGAACATACCAAGAGAAAGCATCCAAGTAATCAGAGCGCAATACAAAGTTTGTTAGATAGCATTGGACCGTGCGCGGCCGAAGAGACAAACATTGATCAGGCCAAATTCACTTTATTAATGCCAGTAAATTTTGGCGCATAAGAAGAGTCGAAGAGGCCTTTGTCGTCTAAAAGAGATTACTGTGGATCCTTCATGTTCAACTAATTGTAAGAGTTTAATTCCTCGAAACTTTTTCGGATCGATCCAGATTAAAACATTGCATCCTTGGAACCTTGGGCCTTTTGTACTTTGGCTTTTTGGAACTTCGGGTGTTTGGAAGATTCAATCCTTGGAATTTTGATTATTTAGAAGACGGATTCCTTGAAACTGTGAATGCTTGGAAAATTGAATTCTTACTTTAAATCTTTCGAATGGTTGCTTGAAAGATGAAATGTTTGGAAGTTCGAATTTCTTGAAAATTACAATTTTCAATTGTTTGGAATCGGAGATTCTTGAAATTTCAAACTTATGAAATTTTGGATCGATACTATCTTACATTTAGATCTTTGAAAATGTCAATTTTTTGGATCTTTGGAATTCTAAAGGTTGTAATGAAGTGAAATTTATCTTAAAGTATTCCAAAGAGTTACTCAATGACCAGAAAGTAATATGTCCAAACAACTTTTTTAAGTTGGATGACAAACAAAAACTTAATTGACTTTAATAATTGACAAATCAAAATCATGTGAACATTATGCCGATTATATTCAATTTATTATTCTATACTTTACGAGAAATATATAAAAAAATAAATCTTGAACCAATGAAGTTATCTCTTGTATTCATTTTATTCCTTGATCTCTACATTTATTTTATACAAATTTTTTAAAAGAAAAACATATACTAATTATTTTTTCAAAAACAGATTTTGAAAATAATATCGAAACGTTTATACGAAAATAATTTAAGAAATGATTAATTGAAGAAAAAATAATTTAAGATAATTATATTAATGCAGCAGTAGCAAGAATCATGAATGTTATTACGATATTTTGTAGAAATGCAGAGAAATTTAAAAGATCTTTAAAGAAAAAATTAGCATGTTTTTAGACTTGTATCATCTAGAATCTAGGAAAATTTATACTTCATTTCAATTATAGATCATAGCTTCTCGCTTGTCTTCAGAATGAAGTTATCATCACAATGATAGGAGAGAATTGCGATATAAGACTTTTGTTTCGTGCAAATTAGAGAGTTCTTACTCCTCTAAAGATTCCTGCAAAATTTCGAGATTTCCTGTCCTATAAGCGAAAAAAAATCCTATCAATTGTGATCGGTATGCAAGGACGCACGTGATTTTTATGATTGATCGCGATCGGTTGTGATTGCTCACGATCGCGAGCAAAAACGAAATCCAAAAGGAGTCAAATGGGCGCGAAACGTCGAAGAGTATTCTCGCGATGCAGACAGGACGCACGAGGATGCAAGAGTATCGGATATACGTTGGATAGCTTACCGCCGGAAATCCTCAGTATTATCCTGAAGATGCTGCCATTGCACGACGTAGCCTGCACCGTTCGTCTAGTCTCTAGGTAGGTTCCTGCCAATTTTGCAAAATTAAAGGCAGTTTTAAAAATTACGAGAATAATTATTAGAATCTTATCAAAAACATCTATATTTATTTTAATTAATTACCTAATTTACTATTAATTTTTGGAATATATTGTGAATTTGAGTATTAAATGTTCAGGAAATACATTTTTTAAGTGGCTAGACTTTATATTATAATTTCTGTATTGTGCTGCATAAGTCTGTGATCCTAAATATACTTTTAGTATTTTTCTTTGAAATCTTAAATTTCAAAATTAGAAGTCGTAGAAAGAAGAATTTGATGTTTAAAAACTGAATCTTTTAGATCTGTCAACTTCAAAACCTTTAGATTTAAAAGAAAATTTTGGGAGAGATTTCTTGCTCTTCTTAAAAATTATAAATCTTGTTTATAAATCCTAAAATCAATCTTCTAAATTCCAGCTTTCTCTAAAAACCCATATTTTCCAAAGAAGTATAGATACTTTTTCATTCTTCCTTGATCCTTGTTAAATAGACGCTGCTACGACATTGCTGCCACAGTACTGAACAGCGAATTTCTAGTAGCTGGTACCAAGCTTGAGATTGCAATAAAACGTACGGAAGACCTCATGAACAATGTAAAGACTAACACGGAGTTAGTAGAATGCAACAAAATTTTTAACGCGCTGGAACTTATTCGCTGCCAATATCGAATGCTGAAGGCAGTCACATGGCGATATACCCATCCAAGGTTTTTAAATTCTTCAATCTCGAACTTTCTTTGATAGCAGTAATAATAGTAACAATAAAAATTACAATATTGGATGAATCTATATTAGATCATTGCTGTCTGGTTGTCAAATCCCGCTAGTTTATTTAAGATTACTGGATTATTGGATTGGTTTTTAAATCTCTCCATTTAAATCTGTTTGCTATCAACTTCGAGAAATTCCTCATACTCAATATTTTCTCCCATGTTCTTATATTTTAAAAATATACACTCTTACTCATATTTTTGTGCTAAATATTATATTTTCTCTTCAGAGATCCTAAATATTTTTCAAAACTTCTGAAAATTAAAATATATTATGATATATAAGCTAAAAAAAATTTTAACATTAATGTATCATTGAATATTAATGTATTAATTAATCGATTTTTATTCGAATATTCTCTTTCGATTTAAAATATATATTTTCCTACTGAATGGGCATTAATTTTAAGAGAAAGGATTCCATTAAATTTACGTAAGCACAAATAAAAAAAGGATCAATACTTCCTTATCTATTTTATTCACGTTAAATAGGTCACGTGATTTACCCATCTCCTGCTTCTACGGCGGTAGAATCCTCGATAATCTCAATTGCCTGCTGCAGACGGTCTTCAATCCTTGCCAGGAGTCGCGCGTCTTTAGTTACATCGACCTGCAGATCTTCACGCGCACTTGCGAGAATTTTATGGATCACTTCGAAAAAGTTACCGAACGCAAAATAAATGGGTAATCCCCTTATTTTCGCCATCTCACCGTTTAATTTTGCGGTCACTTATTAGCGTTCGATTAATGAATCCAACAATCTTCGATCGAATAGCTATCGCTCACATTCGTTTAATCAATGATCAGTAAAGACAAATCGTCAATAGATCTGCGCTGATTTCGGGATGTAAGATAGTCGACGTTCTGGACTGTCTGGAAGAGGGTCGGCAGGTGCTATCCTTTAGGATTTCATCAAGAACTGACAATCCCGTGGTAAAGGGTCAATATTTTTGAAGATGTGACATTCAGTGATGAACAGGATACATCGAACATTTTGGCACATTTATATTACAAAAATCCGAATATTACTTAAAAAAAACTAAAAAAATTTTTTAATTTTGAAAATTTAAAACATTTTGAAAGTTTCCTGAATGTATTGAATCTCGTGAAATCTTGAATTTTTCAATATATTTTTTTTTACACTTATAAAACTTTATTATCTCGAATTATTTTGTTTTATACAAAGATTTGAGAATTTTATTTTTAAGAATTTTTAGCATTTTTCTCTAATATTTCATTTTGAAACGAAAAGATTTCCAATTCTATGGAAACTTTCTAAAGTCAAGAATTTCAAGACATTCAAAATTTTCAAGATTTCCAAGAATTTCTAAAAATTTCTCGTAAAGCAATCTAAATTTTCAAATTTTGATTATCTGAGGAAGATCATCGTCGAGAAAGATCATTAATAGCAATATTTTTTTAATATTATATGAACATTTCTTAAGTGAAAATCATAAAGCAAAAAAGAGAATTATAAGAATTTGAATCAAAAGAGAGCCTGTCGATATTGCATATTATACATATCGCTACTTTACTTCAAATGTGACACAACCAAAAAAAAAAGTAAAAAATTATTTTCGAATTATTATCATAAATGAGTTAACATTACCCTCTCAATCATCAAAAATAAATTAACTTTATAAAACATCGTCAAAATCGTCACAACTCAAAGTAATTAAAAAAAAGAATCAACTCAAAAAGGGTAGTTTTGTGAAATAAAAATGACAAAAATGACGTTGGATCATGTTAAGAATACTTTTTTAATTCTCTAGGAAACTTAATTTTGTTAGTTGTGTCAATTTTAAAAAAGCCAAATTATTCCAAGATAATTAATATACTTATGGAATAGATGTTTGTTTACTTTTGAAGCAAAAGAGCGATATGGAATATGGCACAATCCATCTATTTAATTTCCAGGTCAGCATGCATCTTAAATACGTCTTAAGACGCGCATGGTTCACATGCTTACGAGTGCCTAATGCAAGTAACGAATATTGCTGGCGGGACAAGCAGCGATATATGTATCTGAGATTACGCCGACTGGTTGGCAGCTACAACAAACATCTGTTTCATAAGCTGCACTATGAGCGCAAGCTCATTCTTCGAGTGACGGTTCGTAAAACTTAACTAGTCATTGAACAGCTACTAGACAGCCATTTATCAAAAGCAAAAGATTTTATAAATCAATTAAAAGATCCTATTTTTAGTCAAAGCGGATCATTAGTGCTTAATAATACTAATATGCAAATTTTTGCAAAAACTTTTTGTTGTAAACTGCATGCCGATTTGGTTTGTCCGACTTAAAAATCGCAAACTAAAGCTGAAAGAATATCTTAAATTGATCGACAATTTTAATAATGTGATACCAAAGCATCTTAAAAACCTGTAAATAATTTATTGCGAAAAAAATTATTAATTGTTACACAGATGATGCTTATTAATTTATCAAAAATTTGTTTATCCGATATATAGTAAAAATGTATTTTTTTTCCAATTGAGGTTCTCCGCATTTTCAGGCGCCATTGTTAGCATCCCGACGACCACCGCCGGCTTCCACATATTCAGGATACGGCGAATACGGCGGACAGTTCTTTTATTATGGTAATATGAGCAAATATGCTTACGAGAATAGATTCAAGTACACCAGGATCAGTAACGCGGGAAACACCGGTGGAGAAATTGAAGAGGAGACTAATAGGCCTTGCTTCGATTTGATCATTGGAATCCAATTAAGGCAAAAAAATTTTTTATTAAGAATAAAAAATTATTTGAAAAAATCACAATAGTAGAAAAAGTTGCGAAACTTTCCAATTCCCTGTAAATAGTTTGTTTAAAAATTTTTTTGTCTTTCCTTAAACTGTAACTGTTACAAAATGAAGCTACTTTTTTCATGAAAGTAAAATTCTTCTTTATCAACCTTAATTAAAAATAAAATATCTGAAATTGAAGAGAATATATAAATATAATTAAGATAATATAATATTTAATTTCTGCTTTATTCAATAATATTATAAAATAATCATTTAATAAC